CCTAAGCCCGAAAGCACAAAACCCTAAACCCTAAACCCTCAAACCCTAAAACCAAAGCACAAAACCCTACACCCCAAACCCTAAAATCCCTAAATACTCACAACCCCAGACCCTTAACCCCTACACTAATTCAATAACTAACAACACTAGGCCCGAAACCTGATACTAAACCTACACCACCCCAAAACCCTAGGGTTAGACCCACAACAACCCTAAACCCGCCTCCGTCTCCGCCGTGTTGCCACCGGAACTGGGTGCACGGGGGACTCGGTGAAGTCTCACTTAATCTAAACACTAAACTACCTACACCTACTACTACTACTACTACTACTGCTGCTACTTCTACTTCTACTACTACTACTACTACTACTACTACTACCACTACTACTACTACTACTACTACTACTACTACTACTACTACTACTACTACTACTACTACTACTACTACTACTACTTAGATTACACGGTCTTAGAACCCTAAGCGCGGGGGGGGCTCCTAAGCCCGTGGAGGCTGAGCAGCTGCTGACGAAGTTGGGTTTAGGGTTTAGGGTGGGGTTCCGCAGTAAAGCTGCTAGAGCTGCTTGTGTCCGACGCCGGGCGAAGTGGAAAGCCTGTTGCAAAAAAGGGTGGGGTTTGGGGTTCAGGGTTTAAGGTTTAGGGAGTTTAGGGTTCAGGGTTTAGGGCTTAGGGTTTAGGGTTTAGGGTTTAGCTGCTGGAGTTGCTTTCAGATCGTTTTTGTTTACGCTCTCGGGGTTGGGTTTGAGGCCTTCTGCCCTTCTGGAGCTGCGGGGAGACCTGAACCCCTAAACCTTGAACGCCTGCAATAAGGGTTCCTAGGGTTCCTTTAAACTGGCCTATAAGGGTTACTATAAGGGATCTATAAGGCATACTATACTATAGGGGCGCCCAAAACTTTGAAGCCCCTAAAGTACCCTAAACCCTTCACCTCTATACCCCAAAACCCCGAAACCCCAACACCCAAATCCCTAAAGCCCCTGAAACCCTAAACCCCTCACCTCTATACCCAAAAACCCCTAAGGCCCCAAAGCCCCTTAACTCCCCTTAACTCCCCTAACTTATAAGGGGACCCACAAAGCACACAAGCAGAAGCATTTCATAGGGATATCCCTACCTTATTGGGCTTCATTATAAGGGGGCTGTATATAATGGATATCCCTACCCTAATGTTTGCCTATGTGCTTGTTTTGGGGGCCGTAGAAAAAAAACAGTGAAGCTGTGCAGCTGCGAGCCGAAGCTCCCGAGCTTGTAGAATTTATAAATGGTCCTTTATAATTAGAGTTGAGGGTTTAGGGGTTTAGGGCTTTAGGGGTTTAGGGCTTTAGGGTTCCTATAAGGCTACTACCCAGAGACTCCAATATCCTTTAATTAAGGAATGTACTGTAACTCATATTAGGGATCCTACTATAATTTAAAAGATATTCCTTAATTAAAGGATATTGGAGTCTCCGGGTATAACGGTTCTATATGGGTCCCATAAGGGTTCTATAAAGGTACTAGGTTTAAGGTTCCCCAGTAGTACCTTTTGTTTTTTTTGTTTTGGGGTCCCCTCATTATAGAACCGAATAGTAGGAAAAAGGGTACCCTGCATTTTGAGGTGTTGCTCGGGAACCTCGATCTCAAATTCTACATGAAGCCTGTAAAACCTACCTTCACAGTACGGTTCCTCATCATAGCTTCTTTAAAGGTTCCTTCAAGGGTTTAGGGCCAGGGTTCCTCATTGTAACTTCTTTAAGCTCTCCTTGAAGGGTGTCGGGACAGGGTTCCTACAGATTAGTAGTTCTCCAAATCTGGGTCCCTTTGTAGTGTTCCTTCAAAGGATTTACAAGTGGTTCTATAAGGGCACGAAACGGGTTCTGTAGGGTTTTACAGTCGCTCTCAGGGTCACTTTTTATACTGTTTTGGTGATCTAGAAAGGGGCCTAATTTAGAGAACTACCCATGTACATGAACCCTGCAAAACCTTCCCTTACAGGGTTCCTCATTACAGCTGTTTTACGGGTTCCTTTCAGGGTGCAGGGACGGGGTTCCTCATTATGGCTTTTTTAAGGGTCCTCCTTATAGTTTCCTTAACGATGCCTTCAAGGGTTCTATAATGTTTTTATGGGTGGAGGAGACCTGAAAATGGATTTAATTAGTGAACTACCCATATAATATTAGCTTCTGACGAAGGTACTTGGAGGATCATGGGGACTTAGTAAGGTTATAAGTTATAAGTACTTTAATTGGGGTTATAAGTACTCATATATGTATGGTTACCTTATTCTAACCCTGGTTACTATGTCCCGTGATCCTTTAAGTAGGCGATTTTGGGTTAAGGGATGTGGAGTTAAGGGAAACCCTACAGTCTACCTGGGGGTCCAAAAACCTGTTGCATTAAGAGTTATACAGCGGATTTGCAGGGTTAGGGCTCAGGTTTTGAGATTGGGGTTTAGGGTTCGTAGCCTGGCTTTTTGGTAGTGTTGGGGCTATATGTAAGGCCCAAACCTTATAAGCCTAGTTGCGAAGAGCACCGTCTGGTTCATCGACGCGTTGACTGGACCGTTCCGCTATGTTCTGATCTTGGGTTTCACGGCTGCTTGTTTTAGGCATCTTTACAAGTCAGACGGCTCTGGGCTTAGAGTGTGGTCTTTGAGGTCAGGGTTCGGAAGACTTGTCGACAAACCTGAACCCCTTCCTGCAAGCTGCGTTGCCTTTTTCCAGCTTTGGGCTTTGACTTCTGCAAACCCCGGATTCGGGCTTTCGCAACAAGACAGCTCCAAGAGATAGATCATTGATCGTCGTGGACGAGTTTGCTTTGCTGGTTTCTGTTGCTCAAGGCACGGCAAAGCTTCACTGAGGGTATGATCTGGTATGAGCGTTTGCACTTCGTGCTTGGCCTTGCGATATCAGATGCAGTGCACAGCTTGCGGTGCTTGCCAAAACAACGTTCGATGAAGTACCTGCAAGATTTGTTGCCTAGGTCTTGTAAGCAGCAGGTAGGAAGCAAGTAATCTGCCATCGGAGCACACAGTGCACTAAACCGTCAGCACCATACTTGCCATACTTGTAAGTAACCTACTGCCAATTTCACAACCCTGTTCGAATTATCGAGGCCCCTATATTATAGTACCCTTCTAGATCCCTTATATATACCCTTATAGACCCCTTTAAAGGACGAGATCCCTTATGGTTACCCTTATAGACCCCTTTAAAGGAACCCTCTTCTAACCCAACCTTGGAGTTCAGTGGAAGCAGACAAAAGGAGATTTCAAGCTGTGACTCTAGCAGCCTGTGCTCTACACTGCAGCCATGAGGGAGTTTCAGAATATTAGGGGTACCTTATTTTGGGGTCCTTATAATAAGGATCCTACTATTTAGGGTACTTTTTTAGGGTCCCCTATTTTCTGAAACTCCCATGAGCTGCCAAACGAGACTGATGGAGCCCTCCCCGGCTCCACTAAAGAGGCACCGGAGAGAAGGGTTTTGGGATTTTAGGATTAGGGTTCAGGATCTATAGGGTTTAGGATAGGGGTCTTAATAATTACCAATACTATTTTGGCGGCTTCCTTATTCTACTTACAGTATGATGGGCCCCCAAACCCAATTCTAATTATTAAGGCCCCTTTATCAAATATTCAGAGTTTAGTTTCGTGTAAAGGGAGTGGTGTCCATGAATCAGAGGTTTGCATTACTCTAGGATTCAATGATGTAACGGGTATCAGACTTTCAGCTCCGAAATGAGGGCTCCATTCAGGATGGTTTACTATAGGGGCCTAAAGAATTACCAATACTATTGTGGGGGTTTGTTGAAGTCCAGAACGGGCCAGGACTTCCCCGCAGCCTTGAAGGCTTTGAAGTGAAGTGGAGCAGAGCTCCATGTATGCAAGTTAGCATGCCAGTTAGGGCAAGCATACAACATGCAGACTCGTTCGGAGAACAGTACATGTTGCGAGTGCCGTGAAAATTCAAGCCGTGTAAGCCCATGTTAGCCATGCACCCCGTTGCTGGATCTTGAAGATCATTGGAACGATACACAGAAGATTAACATGGCCTCGGGAAACAACGACAACCCGAATGCTCAGGACCTTCCTGAGTTTCATCAGGTCATGAGCCCAAGGGCTCCCGCTGGGCGCGGTCGCGAAGATCAAGCTGGAACTGCTGTGATGAATGGAGTTCTGCATCAACCTCGCGGCCACCCGATGATGAAGTTAGGGCAAGTGCCGGAGTGATGAGCCAGGGAGCTCAAAACCCCGGCACGCCTCCTCGTGAACAGGCTGATGTCACTACTGGAAGTGGATTCCTGGTAGGCCCGGGATCTCGGGATCAGACGACGCAAGCGAACCCCGGACGCCAGGCTGGACGTGATCAAGGGCTAACGGTTAACGGAGACCTCAGGAGCTGTATAGTCCTCACCGAGGTAAGAAGCCAGGCTCATGTTCAAGGCCCTCATTCTGGGAATATCTTAACTGGTGTTTTGCGCGCTGTTCAGACGTTGCCAGCGACTGTGGAAGGTTTGGTGAATCGGTCCGGCTCGGGCCGTTCAGCCAACCAGTCAACTGGATAGCGTGGAGTACGCCTCGGTGCGTACATCGGCACCAGGTGTCACGATGACCCCGACGATCCAGGATGGAGCTGCCGGACAGTGGTGCTGCCGAGCCGCCCAGACCAGCTTCTACGTCCTCGAGTGACCTGCAGGCTGAAGTACGGAGGCAGCTGTCTGAAATGATGAGATTGAGGGATGAAGAGAGTAGGAGGTTGAGGTCTCAAGTCGAGGCTTTGTGTTTCGAGAACCAGAGCTTGAGGCTCAGGTTGGAAACAGGTGTACAGGAGGAATCTACTGCGCTGAGGCCAGAAGGGTTCATTAACGGGGGTTTTCCTAGCTTTGGTTGGTTGGGGAGACTGGGCTCCTTTATGAGCCACCACCGTCCGCCTCGAAGCCCGGACTTGGGCAGTGGACTTCCCTTTAATCCTGCATCTCCACAACCTCCTCCTTTGCCTCAGGTCTTGGATCGCCAACGACCATCAGCAGCGCCCCAAGTGCCACTGCAGCCACAGCCACCATCAGCGGCCCCTGGATTTATGGGCAATATGCAGCAACCCTACGGTTTAGGCCCTAATACCCTAAGGACCCTAGAGGGAACAAATGAAGAGGGCTATGAGTATCCACAGGCCCAGCAGGGTCTGACCGCGACCAACGGGGTTAGCCTACTTAATCCCTCGGTTGGCAGTCTAAGGCTTTCTGAAGGACCAGTGCAAACGCCGCTGGGAGATCCTGGAACTCCCCAAGTGGAACCGCATCACCCGGTGTCTCGACCCGTCTCGTATGGAACTACAGGAGAACCACCCATAGCCCTTCCTAGCCTTGTGAGGCGTATGCCAGCTGAGCAACCAACTGAGCCTGCGCCGCCTGGCGAGCCGAAGGACCTGGGGATTGATGCAATGAATGTAGTCCTTACGGGTATGGCCCAGCTACAGAGCGTAGTCAGCGAGCTTGCAAGCCCTAAGTCAAATGACCGACCCGAGATAATAAAGCCCGGAGTGCTAGTCCCGAGCACGGACCGGAGTCGTGCCTTGAGTTCGCCGACTGGCTGCATGTGTCAAGGCCAGCCTTGGCAGACGTAAGCGACACATCGGAGTATCTCTGGGATCTAAGGAGCCACGGTTTGGTATAATGGGTATCTTAGGTTAGGCCCCTTAGACCGCCTGACTGCCAAACCTGTGCCCTCACCGGAACTGAACCAGACAAAGTGGACCCGCGTATCCCGAAGGATTGAATCGATTATCACGGCAGCCTTGCCGGCCGCAATCCGTGAGGAAGTCAGTGCCTCAAGGATTTCGGGGCTCCTCGCCCTGTTGTGCAAGCTGTTTATCGTCTACGGTCCCGGGAGCCTAACGGAGCGAGAACTCGGCCTGAAACACATCGCCGAGCCTCCGGTTGGTGTTGGCGTTCACGACACTATAGAAGGCTTGAGAGAGTGGAAGCGATGGTGCAGCAGAATGTTGGAGCTCGGAGGTCTGTTGCCTGACAGTGCAATTCAAGTGAGGGCACTCAAAAGGATGACGAGCGCCGTGATGCTCCAGCACCCCGAGGCAAGCTTCCGCATAAGCTTGGCTCGTGCCGAGTTGCAGATCGACTTGGTCCCAGATGATGCAAAGGTGCAAAAGCTTCACGCAGCCGTGTTGAGTGAGCTGGAGTCTATGGCCATAGAGGCGATAAGGACAGGGAGAAGTCGCCGAAGGAGCCCGCTGCTCCTCAACCACCAGTGCCGAAGGTTAAAGGTGTGGAGGCACAAGGCCAGCCGGAGCCCCCGCCGGGAGGAAGACCCCCTAAGGGACCTAAGCCCCCACCAACACCTAAGGCAACTGATAGGGCCCCGGGAAGTAAGGTCCCATGTACTTTTTACACTGGACAGTACGGGTGTAAAAAGGGCAGCGACTGCACCTTTGAGCACAACTGGGCTGCGTTTAGCCAAGCTGAGAAAGCTGCGAGATGCAAAGTGTGTGAGTGTAAGGCAGGCACCAAGCCAGAGGACAAGGGCAAGGGAAGAACCCCTCGCCCTCCGCCACCGCCGAAGGGCACGTCTGAGGCCGCCGGCCAAGCAACCACCCCTGCCGCAGGGCCAGACACGAGCAATCAGCAGATCAAGGCTATGCTCGCTGAGGCCGCTGGTTCCGTCCCAAGCCAATGGGGCGACCGGTCAAGCACCCGTTGTCCCTGCTGTGCCGGTCCCGAGCTCACCGCCTCCACCAAACCCCAAGGCTGCTCCGCAGACCCCGGTCCAGGGAACGCCGGTGACCATGGCGTCATTGAGTGCGCAGCTTGATAGTCTTAGGGCTATGGTTGGAAATCCCGAGGTTAGGGCCCTACGAGTTGAGCCGAACCTTAAGCCTGATGTTCTGCCGGATGAGTTTAAGAGGCAGAAGGATCTGCGCGCACTGGTGGAAAGGTGTGAAGCTAAGGTATGCAAAGGACTTCCGACACCTCCAGCTGTGCCTAATGCATTGCTTGATAGTGGGGCAACCCACGCAGTCATTCCGTATGCCCCAAAGTTGAGTAACCTGGAGCGAGTACCGGTTACATTGGCGGGGGATGCAAAGGAAGAGTGGCGGAGAACGGAGGGAGGGACCCTTGTCGTGCCGCCCGATCCCAGCTCTCCTGCTGATTGTCCTAAGGGACAGACCATCCTCCCGCTCGGAGCGCTTGTGGAACACCTTGGCTGTCAGGTAGCATGGAGTAAGCGCCAAGGCTTGAAGGTCACCCATCCTACGGTGGGGGTCTTACGTACAGGTGTGTCAGATAATACCTGCCCGTACCTTCAGGAAACCCAAGCCCTCCGACTGATTGCCGAGCTGGAGGCCAATAGGCTTGAGTGCCTCAAGGCTGAGGTAGAGAACTTGCAGTGCCGTCTGGAGGAGACCACACATGCCCAGGATCCAACTAGGGCTTTGTGCAAGTATGCTGAGACCGGGGATAGGAGGGACGCGCTTGCAGCTCTGATTGCCCAGCCGTACTTTAAGGGGCTTAGCGAAGAGCTTGTAGCCAGTCTCGCTGAGCCGATCCCTGGCCCTGATCCGGACGAAAACAAGGTTTTGCTAAAGGGATTGGTTGAAGCGTGCCGCAAGGCGAGCCTTGCTGGCTAACCCTCGTTGGGTTGTGCACCTGTGTTCAGGTCGACCCAGGTCGAACGACCCGATTGCAGCATGGTGTCATGAAAGGGGAATGGTATTCCTCCCGGTTGATATCCTGGAGCGAGGGGGCCGCGGATGGGACCTGTCAAGGCCGAATGCAGTTTGGAGAACTCTTCTCTGGGCAGCAGCGGCCGGAAGGATAGCTGCAATCTTCTCCTCGCCTCCTAAGGATTGTGGACGCCGGAAAAGACTGTTGATCCAGGATAAGTTTCCGTGGTCACTGGCCTCAGCTGTGTGCAACACTGGCATCCCGTACCTTGCAGATGTTGATGGCAGCCCGCCTGAGGTTGAGACTAGTTTTCAGTGCTGGTCAGGAACCAGGCCAATAAGGATAAGTCAAGGGGCACTGGGAGCCTATCATGAACGGCCCACTCTTGTCACCACCAACCTTGACCTTGGTTTCCTAGGCACTCTCCCTAAGCGAGGTGATCCGACTACTCCGCCCGGAGGTAAGGAGTGGACACAGGAGCTCCGTAGGGAGATAGTGCTCGCTCTTAGCGGACGGCCAACCACACAGTCTGTGGATGATTTGGATAAGATGATCTCATCAAGAAGGGCTTCGACTAATCCCTTGGAATCTAAACTGCCAGCAACCACTGAGCTGGAACCCTGCAGTGCCGAGCTCCAGCCTCACCAGCAGGAAGAGGAGCGTGCAGACCGTGAGGATGAGGCTGCAGTTCAGGCTGTGCACCGACCCTCCAATATGACTCCGGAGGCTCTTGAAGGCTGGAAGCAGCATATCTGGAATGGCCATTTGCCTTACAGAAGAGATTGTAAACAATGCATCGAAGGAGCCGCGATCTGCTACAAGCGCCGAAGGGTGCAACATCCTCAGTCCTTTGCCCTGTCAGTTGATTTGTTCGGGCCTGTTCCGCCTTCTGAGCATGGGCGGGACGGAACATGTGTTAGTGGGAGATATACGGTTAAGTTCGGCTTAGTGGGTGCATTCCGCGTGCCTCTATCTCTCCTGAAGTCAGCCCCTAAGGAAGATGGAGTGACAGATCTTTTCCAACGTGCTCAGGAGGAGGATGACTTGGCTGAATACGAGCCCTCGTTGCCTGATGAGACACCTGATGCATCAGCCAAGCCTCATCCCGCCGGTGCCCTAACACAAGATGACGTTGACTTTGACGAACTGTTTCGCGACCCTGTGGATGAAGATTGTCCTCGTGCTCCACCGCCTTTCGTGTTAGCCCTCCAACAGGGAACTGGAAGCGGGATAAAGGAACTTGGATCCCAACCATCTTCAGTACTCCATGAAGAGCAACTTCCGAAGGATCCCGAGGCTTTAAATGCGCTGATAGAAGAACTCCGAGCCCCGGACCCTCAGGTAGTCTTGCGTTACTTCATGCCTATAAAGGGGAGAACAGGAGCTGAAGTGACTTTGGCATTGCAGCAGATGATACTTCAGATTATGAAGTCATTCCCGGTGTATACATTGCACTCTGATATGGGAACGGAGTTCACCTCAAAATCCTTAGAGACTTGGTTGGCAGCTCAGGGTGTGCGACATCAGACCAGCCTGCCCACAGACAAGAAGGCAAACGGCCTTGCCGAAAGAACGGTAGGCTGGGTCAAGTCGCACATTCGCACGCTCCTTCGCTCTGCGACCCTTCCAACTCACTGGTGGCCGCTTGCAGGACGTTGGGCAGTTGAAGCTCACAACCGACGGATCATGGGATTGCCCAATCTCCCCAGCTTTGGTCAAGCAGTACTTCACCGTGTTAAGCAGCCAGCTGATGGGACCAAGTACCTAATGCACCGATGGATCGAAGCACGTTACGCAGCCCCGCATTCTACTGTCCCAGATGGACATGTCTTGATTAATGATGCAGGCAACCTCCTCTCTTCTAAGGGTTTTAGGGTTGACCCTGTGGATCCCAATAAGCTTGATGGGTTAAGCTTGCCTGTGCGAAGTGGAGGGAGATGAACCAGCTCAGGAGGAGATGGAAGCGTTACCTGCAGCCCCAGACGAAGGACCAGCCGTGCCCCCATCCAGGAGACTAAGGGATAAGACTACGGTGCGGTTCGTAGAATGCAGTTCCCTGGACGACCCAGAGCAGTTTGCCCAGTCGTGTTTGGGAGGTCAAGATTTTTCATCCGAGGCATTGCAAGAGCTCATGGCACTTATGCCGCAGGATGGGTCCATCGATAGAAGGGGTGGGAGTGAAGGAAGGTTTGTTTTCGGATGTTATAGTCACGGGGGCCAGCGTGGGATAACTAACTCCACCCGAGCCAGACCGAGTGTTGTAAGATTCTTGAATGATTTCCTAGCCTCTAGAATGCAGGGTGATAGCCTTCCGGAGTCCCCTGAGTGGACCTCGTTGATGATTCTGAAGGCAGGTGACGTGGAAGTCCACCGGGATTTCAGAAATGAGTGGGGTTCGTCGAACTTTGTTGTGAATATTCCTGGAAGGTCGGAACTTTGGACTCAAGATTCCGATGATTACAAGCCAAGACAACCAATGCCAGTACCGGACTGGAAGTCAGCCCGAGTGGTTGATCTGACTCAAGGTGTCACTGTTCTCAACGCAAGGCTGCCACATGCCGTCCGGAGATTCCAATCTGGACCCTTGTTGCGTACACCCCGCTGGGTTATGCTAAGCTTCCAGATGAAGCCCACCAGCAACTTCGCAACTACGGTTTTCCTGTGCCAATGCAGCGAGAGGTGCACCCACAGGTCAAGGCCTTATCGTCGAGCTCGGACACAACTAGTGAGTCCACTCCGAGCAACTTCCATGATGAACAGGAGGACCTAATCCCAATGTCGCCGGGTTTAGCAGAGATACTGGATGAGCTGCCTCAGGTTCAAGGATCCCTCGACCAGGATCTACAGCCGGGTTCCAACACAACCCTTGTGGGCTGGGACTTCAGCAGAGGGGACCCAGGGCATTTTCCGATTCAGCTCTGGATCGCGTCGAGCTTGCAAATTACCTAAGAGCTCGGGGTGTTGAAGGGTCCTACAACCAGCTCGGAGCACTAGGTATAGAGACCTGCACTCCAAGTGCATTGCATGCACTCCATGTGCATTACCTTTCACGAAAGATCCCCAGACTCTCGGCTGTGCCGTGAAAAGAATCCCAAGTCCGAGTGATTGCGATTTCAATTTATATTTGACATATTCCTCATTGATTCGGAATATGTATGTCGAAATTTTTTAATATGCTTATGATTGAGTGAGATTGTTGTGGATGACCGGATCTATAAGCATTTCTTCACGCGTGCGTGACGATGTTTTATAGGTCCTTAGGTCAAACGAAATTTTGTGTGGGACAAAATTTTGGGCCATAACAATCTTTACACTTCGTATCGAAGTACATCATGTTTCAATTATAGCAACACAAAGACTTTGCTTGCATCCTCTGCATGTTTGCACGGGGTTTCAATGCTGGAAGTGCCTCATGTTTTAAATATATGATTGCAAACAAAGACTTTGCTTTCATCTCTTTGCATGTTTGCACGGGGTTTCAATGTTGCGAAATTTTTCCATGAGCAGTTCACGAGCTTTGGTGAATTACGCAGCTCTTCCGTGATCCAGGCGTCACGGGAAAAATGTTGTTTCCCACCCGCCCACCCTGTGCATTACCTTAAACCTGAAAGGCTTCCGCGAGGAAATCAAAGCGCTGTTGCAGATCAGTGATGTACAAGGCAACATCCTCCTGGGCAGCATGCGGACCTCCCAAGCCCGAGACAACGCAGAAATGGTCCCACACCTCCGCGGCAACATGAGCAGTGTCGGCAAGCATCAACTGAGCGAAGGAAGCATCAGCAGGGGCAGCAGTAGCGAGGTTCGCCAATGCTTCAAACTTCCGCCTTATGTCCGTGCGCATACTCACAACTTGCCGAATGATGTTACAGGCCGCAGCAGCATAGCAGGTATTGCCTTTGTTTTTTAGAAACAATTCTTCAGGGGAGGATGAAGAGGGTACTCCACGCCATATGGCAGACGAGCATGCACCTGCAATCTGAGCGCGTGCAGCAGCAGACCTTGGAAACACAAGTGGCGGGAACTCCTGATCAGCATCTTCACTCAGTAAGCTGAAAGGATTTGCATCGGCAAAAGCGCCTCCCGTAGTGTCGGGCTCAGCTGTTTCCTTCCGAGCCTTGCGTTTGGGGCTACCATCAACCTGAAGATTCTGACTGGGGTTGCGAGCTTGGGCTGGGTGCTTCTCAGCAAGCTGTTCAAGTAGCAATGTGGTGCTTTGTCCTCGTTCATCCTGAACCAGAAAAACAATGTCAGGCGGAGGATTGGCAGCAGCAATGACCACGCGCTTTGTACTACCGTTTCTGAAGCAGGCTACGACAAAGGGCTTGAACTGCTCAATCGCAATGGTTTTGACAAAGCATTCTGGATCCAGATGTCTGGGCACGTTGTGGATTGCATACTGCCGATGGTTGGGGGGCACATACACGGAATTAGGCTTAAGAATGGCTTTAACCTTCTCCTCAGCACTCGACGGCACGCGAACCCCCCAAACGCTGCGGAGCACGCATCAATGCATGCGAACGTACACCCACATCCCGCCAAGGCAAGAGTCAGACCACGAGGAATTTTTGCGGGCGCATGCTGCAATAGTTCCGAATGTGCAGGAATCCAAATCCTTCTAAGATCCGAAATCTCAGCGAAGTCATGAACTTCTCGGCAGGTGAGGGCAAGTTGTCCAGTGCCCTGCTTTATCCATTTGGTGGCGATCGTCTTTGACACTCGGGCACATGCCCTGATGACCTCCGGAAAAACTTGATGCTGATGCCACTTTGACTCGAAGCTACCGGAGCCTCCAGCCTCAAGCATGCCGACGAGTGTGCGGGTGA